TTTTTTTTTTTTTTTTTTGATATTTATGGTCCAAAATCAACAATTCTTTTAAGGGCATGGTAAACAATATGGTTGGACAAAAACTTTCACCCAAAGTATGTGAAATGGTTTCACAAATGGTCAATGAAAAAGTGAATCCAAAGTTGGCTCAACTGCCGAGAAGAATACCGCTTTCACAGCTGTTTTCAACAATTACTGGCGGTGCGACTGGGTCAACAACTCCTGAGCAAGTAAGGAAATTAATTATATACAAAAATACCACTTTCATATTTTATTATTCATTTTTTTAAAATTTTTTTTAAACGAATTTTTTCTCATTAAGCACAAAACTAAGTAACTGCTGTACAAATGCTAAATTGTAATTGCTTGCTGAAACTTTTAACCAACAATTATTCTAGTGTCAAGTTGCAAGACAACAATGCTTCGGAAGCCATACGGCAGTTGTTGGAACACCACTAAAACACAAGTCATTAGGATCTAGTATGGTTAGAGGAAACGGAACACTGTTGATGAACGGCATTAAATCAAATAAATCTGTTCCGATAACCGAAGAGGCTATGAAAATCGAACTTCAGAAAATCAGTCATTTGAACGACCTTCTTAAAGACGGAAACAGCAAAATTAAAGTTGCAGACACTCCAAAAGAAGCGCCTCGTGCTTCCGCTTTTTCTGCTTCTCAAAGAAAACATAAACTGAATAGCCACAAACAAGTCTGTTTTTCTCCCTTCTAGTCCGCATAAAATAATGTTTTACAATTACTTGTAAATTTACGCGACTTTTTCAGTCTAAACATTACAATAATATTTTTGAATTTTTTAAGGCTACTTTAACCATAAAAGTATCATTAAAATAAGATGGAATTTTGATGTTTATACAAGGATTATTTCTCTAAAAATATAAATTTATAACAAATTTATTTGATTTTAGGTTGCTGATGATGTAATTTTACTTTAGGTAATCAATACAACTCAGGCACCGAAAATGAATAAAAATGGTGCTAACAGTGAGAAAGCTCGCATTAAGCGAGATAATATGTCTCCGCGAAAGCCAGAGCAGAAAACTCGCATTGAATCAACAGCTAACAAGCCCGAAGCTCCAGTGGCTGGATCAGCATCAGTCATGCGACAAGATTCTTTTGCTGCTCTGTCTAAGCAAAATTCAGATAGTGCGAAGGCACCTCGAGTTATTCCAATGACTAAGCAACCAGCAGCACGACATAAAGCAACAACTGTTAACAGCTCTAGTCGGGTTTTGAGAAACATTACCAACGCAGGTGTTGCCCGTAGGCCTAAAGCAAAAGGCTGTCCAACAGCATGTCTGAACCAGGTTGGCGGTGCAGTTTCTAGCGATAATTCATGTGCTGGCTGTCCTGGCGTCGATACATATCAAGATCCGATGACAGCTCTTTTGGGACTCCTCAAAGACTTTGATGCTGTAGGCTTTAAAGCTTTATATTTGAAAAGTTACTGTACTTCTAGTTACTTTAAACACCATCTTATTTCTAAAGTGTTATCAACCACAGATGACAGTAGTCAATTAAAACATAAAAATATCGGCAGCCAGTAAAATTTCCTATAAAATTCTTTCTTACATGCGTTTTTCTACTTGAGTTTTTTTTCTATTGATCTTTCTCGCTTTCTATTCAGCCTTTTCTCTTATTAAGCCCTTCTAATAATGTGTTCAATTTAGTCAAAATTGTGCAACATCTATTTGAATTTGGATTTACTGGGTACGTATGCTGGGTGTTGCGACTACTCGATTGCTTTAAGCGGCACGTTCAGTTTCTGTAATCAGTTACCACCAGGCCTTTGTCCGGCACCATACAATTTCCCACCAACAGCTAATACCAATGCTATGGTTGAACTGGTTGTCAGTGAATATACAGTCAACTCGCTCTTCTACAACCTTTATGCGTAATTTTTGGAAACTTTTAATCCAGATTCTATGGCTATGATTTTTAGATAGGTGTTCACAATCTACCACAAGTTTCAAAATTTGAAGCTTAATTCAGTGTAGTAAATAAATCATACAACAGCATTCATTTGTTTTAACCATCTCTATTCTACAGATCTGGTGCTCTAAGTTTTGTAATTGGACCTCAAACTCCAAAGATAGGAGCATTCTTAAAAACCACTTGCGGTAACCCAGAGGTATTTTTTACCATTCAAGATAGACTAAGATTTATTGAACAAATTCTTCGCACGTATATGAACGTTGTTTCTGAAGTTAATCTATTTCCCCTGATAAAGCAATAAACTGCATTTTTTTGATCTGCTTGGTTATTTTTGTTCTCATTTCTTTTCTCTCTGCACTTAGGAAAAATCTGGAGGCGATTTTGATGATCTTCTCGTATGCCTTGGTGACGTACTGCCAACATTTGCTGAGCGTTTCCCAAATGAAACAGTTGCAGCTCGAATTTACGCTTTGAATCCTCCAACTGTAGTCTTTTCTGGCAGAGATGCCGCTTCAGGTAAGTCGTTTATTTCAACATTTAGAAAGTTGTCGGCTGTACAAACCATCGTTAGAGGCTAAACATAAACCAGTTATCCCTTGCTGTAGATCAACAGCCAACATTGATTTTAGTTGCTTTCTTATTGTACTTACTAGTCTCTTGTAAAACTCTAAAAACTCGTTGTTTCTATCAGGCTGTGCTAACCTAAATGTAAACATTGGAGTGGATGTATGTTTGTCTTCGGTAAACGTTTGTGACCCACAGTCCAAGATCGGTACGGTTGTAATCAGCGGTTCTCTTGGCGCTTGTACTGTGTTCCAAAATGGCAATATCTATGGTAGTGGCACAGTAGGCAATTTGTCGATAGTTGATCAGGATCAGACTTTGGGAGTGGATCAGAAAGCATTAGACCAAATCTCAGTGCTTGGAAAAGAGCTGCTTGGCAAGGTCAGTATTGTTTCGCAGAAAAAAAAGTAGTAGTATTGCAAATTTGAATAGAAAACAGAATAATTGTAAAATAGGATATTTAAGCGGTAAAGGTATTCAAAAATTTTTTATCATTTAATGGCAAGTAGCGTAGCAATAACGCTTCAGCGTCTTTAATCGCGGATTTCAACAAACAAACAGTAAAGTGAAAACCAGTTATTATTTTAAAACGTTAATTCTCAGACTGTCATAACAGTTAAAAATTTCAGCTTTTGAACGATGTTTTAAGTAAAGGAATACCACTGAATATACCTGCTGGAGTATTACCAATAAATCTGCAAAATACGCAAGTTACAATGATCGATCATGCAATATATATTGCATCTGATTTTCAGTTGACGTCATTACCCGAAATCTAAACTTCTTCAAAGTCATTAACTACCAAAAGATCAAAAAATTTTATTGCTGATATAAAATAATTAATTATTTTTTTCTTAATTTTACATTTTTAGTTTGGAGCGAGTGTAATAGATAGTTTAAAAGAAACGTATTAGTTATTTAGCCAAAAATATTGAAATACTGATTTCTTGAAAGCAGTTTATTTGTGTCCACTGTTTATGCATGGCAAAAGTGATTGCCAGTTTAGTGATAGCAATAGAATATAACAAATAGTGTTGAAGAAAAGATGTTGGAGAAGAGAAATTTAGTTTGTAACTGTTCAGTATTCGTATGAATGATGGTTTAGGATGAAGCCAGTTTGGTATAGTGATATGTGTGCAAACAAATGTCTGTATATTTTGTTTCTTGAAATTAGCTTCTAAAAAAAAAAAAACAACTTTTTTTTCTTATGTAGGTTCTACATATTGTATTATTTGTTGCCATAAACCCAGACGGGTAAACAGTAGTTGTTTTTTTTTTTTTTTGCTTTTATATACTCTAGTTTCTTGAACAATCATTCTAGACTACCTCAAAGATTGGCCTTTTTTTTTTCGCAGAAAACTTGCTTAGGATGAATTTGTTTGTCTGTATATTTTGGGTAGAACGGAGAATAAAAAAAACCTCACTTTTGGCAACAACGAACAGTTATTATTGTCAGAAAAATAGTATATATTGTCAAACATTTAATGTATACCTCAACAAATTTACTTCTCTTTTTGTGATTATAAATTCTTTTTTTAATCTATTTTTAGTTGCAATTTTAACTCTTTTTTGGCTCAATAAACACATTTCCTCAACTGGTCTGTGTTTCCAAAATTAGATAACGTTATTAACTGTTTTTTTTGATTGAATTTTGTTTCTTTGTATATGCGTGTTTGTAAATTCTTCGTCTTTTTCACTTTTTATTTCTCCTCTTTTCAATTTTGGAACAAAAAATAGTAGAAAAAAAATTTTGTGTTCAAATTGTATTAAAAAGAAAAAAGTTAGATACATATACTTTTTTTTTGGAACAAAAATGAATGTTTGTTTATGACAAATGTTTGTAAACAATAAATGTAGTTTTTTTCTTCCTTTTTTTTTTACTTTGCTCTTAAAGACAGGAAGACGGTTATAATGAGATGGCATAAAGTTGTACAGAGATTTCTGTTGGTACGGTGACTGTATTTGTTTGATGAAAGAATGAAATGCGCAATAAAATTGTTTTTTTTTTTTTGTTTGGTTTGGTTTTCACTTTTCTGTTGAATTCATGTATCTTTCCAAAAAAAAAAAAGAACCAAAACAACGGTAATTCTATCAAATAAATCAAAACGAAACTTCTTTGACCTGCCCAAAGTTTCAGTGCTTTTGTTTGTGTACTAAACAATTAGAAAGACAATTAAAAACTATTCATGCTTTTTTTTTGCGATACAAAATACACCAAAATTCTTGAGAGTATTTTCTGAAAAATATTTGTTTCAAAAAAACAGAACAGAAACAAAAAAAGAAAGAAAAAAGTAAAAAGGGTGGAAAGAAATGTAAAGATTTTATTATCAAGTTGTATTTATTATCAGTATTTTATATTTTTCTGCTTTAACAGGAAGAATATAACTGATTTGAAGTTCAAAACGGCGTTTATTAATATTGACCAAATTTTTATTGCTTATGCAACAATGTTTCGTTTGATTCTTCACTGTTTTGAGCTGTAAATTTTTTGCTTTCTTTGCTTTGCCTTAACAGTGTTTCTATTTGATTGTAAAATAAGCAGATGTTTTGTTTCATGAAAAATTAGTTGAAAATCCTGTGAATTTTGTGTGACTGCTGACTGATTGCATTAATTTATTCAGTAAATATCAAATATATAAATTGGGCGCCTGATCGAGTTTAAAATTTTATTAGACAGTCAGGAAATGTTCAGTCTCATTATAAATTCAAAAAAAACAAAATTTTTCTAAAGAAAACAAAAAGGAGCATTTTTTTTAATTTTTGTATCTAAATTTTCTTCCTTAAATAAATCTATGTTTGTTTGTCTAAAGTTTAAGCGCTAAAGCATTAATTGATAAGCTGAAATAAGGATTACTTATACCACTATTTTTGGTATCAACTAGTCTGAGCCAACCAAGCTGAATAGTGATGTGAATGAACGGATAGTACTGTCGATGTTTCTTATCTTTTTTGCTTAACATTATAGCCCAATCTAATAAACTACTGAAATTTCTGATGAACAAAACAAGCGTCATCTGTAAGATGTCTTTCTTCCTAACACTTGATAGTCTAGTAAGTATAGTCTCAAAATATTTACTGCAGACTTTCGTGTTCTAAAGATTTATGCCAACAGGCCCAGCGTTATACTTTCCCAAAAGCAGTAATTTGGGGTGACAAACTATTCAGGTGAACGTTTGTTTTGACCTTGAACAATTCACTCAGAAATTTGTCGACAATGCCAGTTATCATAGGATAACTTTTCTGTTACAAAAACAGTCATTCTTTGTTTTCAGTAGTTAAACGTTCTGCGGTGAAGAAGAGACAAGCAACATTTCTTTAAGAGTGAAGTTTACGCATTTGTACTCGCTGCTAAAGATCGGCTTGACAGTCTTATACCTGGCAATGAGCTTTGACAACTACATCATACTTTCCAGGAAATTTATTAAAATAGTTATTATTAACAGTTGCGTTTAAGAAGAAACAATTTAAATTTGTACATACGTTATTATTTTCCTTCGGCCCTCTTTTTCAGCGCAACAATAAATAAAGCACCCATTGAAAGTAAGCACGTCTGCCTCCAAATGGGAAACGTCGCCTTACTTTTATTTTTTTGGTAGTGAAGTTTCTGACCTCGCTTAATTTATCCACTCTAGATTTAGACATGCCTATGCATTCCTTGCTAACTTTTTTACAGTTTAATGGTAAGGTTTTGTTCTCATCTTTATGCCAGTCCAAAATTCCACTTTTCTTCAGTAGACGTTACAAGAGATGGTGGCTGCGCTCCGCAATTGTACAATTTTAGGTTCATTTGCCGTAAACGCCACTCATGACTATTCTGCGAGTGCTTTTGCTGCTGTAAACTGTTTGCAAATCTGCTGGTCCTAGTCAAAAAAGTTCTAAAATTTGTGTTCAAAGTTGCTTCTACAACAACTAGTAGTTTCCTTCTAAAATATCTTTTGATTTGAATCACCTTGCGAATTCAAACGTCCCTGATAAATTAGATGACTTGAATTTTAACAGTTTCTACTTGATGGTAGATCTGCTTTTAAATTCGCTGCGAAATGCGTTCTCTTTGACAATTAACAATTGGGAGGAATGTAGAAGTATGATGTCGGTAAGTAAATGTCAAAACGGCATCCGATCCACGTGGATCTGAAGGCGTCATGATAGAAGTGAAAAGCAATATTTTGTCTCTTAGTAAAAAGTAATCTTTTGAACAACCACTCTTTTTTAAAATCATTCTTTTCTTTACTTTTTCGGTGAAATGAGCTTCATTTGAAATTATTTTTCAAAAAAGTGGGATATGCCGTAAGTACCGCTGCAAAATGGAGTAATTTTTGTAGAGATATAAAATACCAAACAAACTACCAGTTATTATACGTCCCATATAAGTGGTTGCAGAAACTGATAGTAGTTTTTCAAAGAAATCATCACCACTACTTCATACTTAAATTCGCATAGGTTTCTGGCACCGTTAAGCGCGCTTCTGGTAAAATAATTGTCGTTAAAGTAGAAAGTCAATTTTTTTTTTGATAAATTGCTATCACCAGTCCAATAGTGGATTATGCCCGGCACGACCATTGTAAATAAAATGTGACTAGCTCGTAATGAAACAGAAAACTTCAAGCAGTTATTCACCCACTTTACTCTCAATCAGCTTGTCATTTATCCAGTTTCTGAGAGCTGCACTATAGCGTAGAACATAAAAGTAATGCGAATCATGGATGGAAAAAACGAAGACCTTTTTGATACATTTACATGAGCCTATTTTTGGAAAAACTATTTTCAATAACTTCTTTGATTATCTGGCTAAGGATGATAAAAATTTGAAGTAAGGCGGTCACTTAGGAGTAGATTTCTAGCCTTTCAAATTTCTAGGACTGCAGTCACAAAATGCGGGGGTTGTCAGTTACACTAAGCGTCACTTATAAGCAAGTGTTACGAAGATCAAAACAAATATATAGTATCGGATCATTACAAATTTATCAAGAAGTGCATAAACAAGTCCTAATCACGTGTGAGTTAGCGAAATAGAGAGGCTTAAGTACAAAAACTGAAAGATGATGGTAAAAAAGGGTTGTCTGAGCGTTGGTGGCACGCTTAACTGCTGCAGGGCTATAGATGATACTTTTTGTAACGTCGAAGTTTTGAGTGATGATAGTTTATTCAGTAACTAACACATTTTTGTCTTTTGCTTGGAGGCGATTTACAGCCTATTGTTACAAGCAAAACTGTAAAAGTTCAAAGTTGCTTCTGATTTTGCGTAACAAAATGACTGTTGTCAATCAGTAGGTCATTAATCAATTTTCTATAGAATACTTTTTCAAAAAGAACTTTTTTTTGACATTAAGATGTGTTAACTTTTTTAAAGTTGACTGATTTTCAATCGATTTGGTTGATTTTACACAGTACTCGTTGAGATTACCTGCAAAATCTAACTATATATTTTTTAGTCTGCCATAGAATTATTGGCATACAGACAAGTTTTAGAAGACATGATTAACAAGTTTTATCTTTCAGAAAACTTACTGTTACAGTTTACGCAAGAGATTGGTCTGTTCCACTAAAAATAGTTGGACTGTTGCATTCGAGATAGCATCTTTTTAACAGAAGTGAACTTCCGAAATAATAACTTTTTTTTCAGTTTAGATTTAAATTTGCTATCTACATAGGTTACAATTCATATTTTCAGTTTCACCTTTTTTTGCTTTAAAATTCTACTACTTTTAAGTATGAGAAAGCCATTACATTCAATTAATCAATAAGTCTGCACTTGACACTTGTCGAAGTATGTCTTCAG